ATGTTTGTAAGATGTAATGTGATGGAGGGCACACTGGGACATTTTGGATCAAGCGTTTGTCAAGAGCTAGAAGCCAAAAAAGACAAGAAAATAAAAAGGAAAAGAAGCCATGCCAGATGGACAGCAATGTTTCCATATTTACTTTGTTTACAGTGCTTTGTAAATAGGTTCCAGTGAGTCTGTCTTTAGGTGGATGTTGTGTCAGCTGCCTTCCAGTTTATCTTTGTCATGTAGGTTTATTTACTGTAACTACTTATGCAAGTTCAACTTTTCTAACATGTTTTTATTTTGAACAGTTTTTTAATTGACATTTTCAACAAATAAAGAAGGATAAAAATTGCTTCTTAGCACTCGGTGCTGCTTCATTTGTTTCCACCACAAAAGCAAAGCCAGTGCTTGCTCTGGGCTTCCCTGATTTTCTCAAAATGCCCATGGCTGCATCATCCACCCTCCGATTTACTGGATGCTGGTGCGAATGGTGATGCTGGCACTTGGGCTGTTGCTCCCACCATCACCCGGCCCTGCAGCAGGGAGGGCACCTGGTCCCCGGGGAAGGAGATGCATTTCCATCCCTCAAGCCCTGCTTGCACTCTGCTAACAAGGATGCTTTATGGAGAACTAGCTGCTCTCCGCTGCACCGGTGGGTTGCTGTAGATAAGTGACTTCCTGCTTGAGATTTTTTTTTTAGTTAGTAGTATTTTTTTTCTGGAGATTAGGTGTGGTGACAGGATTTCCTTTGGTCTACCGCTTGGACAAGACCTCTCCTGCACACTGGTATTTTTAACTCTTTGGTAGAGCCATGCCTCACTCTCAGCCTGCAGCTGAAGTGGGAGGATCGAAGGCAGGAGGGCCGGATCCTGCTCTCCCTCCCCAAACACATCGGTCGGAGCGGGAAGAAGAGCAAGCAAAAAAAGGGAACACCGGCCTTGGGCACAAGTGATGTTTTGGGGAATTATTGCAGAGCTGCATCCAGACCCAGGCACCCCAGAGCCTGCACTGGGCAGAAGAGCAAGGAGGAGGCATCCCCCAGGCTCATTTTGGAGGGAGCATCTCCACTCCTGGGTCCCATGAGGCCAGATTCAGGCCTTAACCAGAGACCCTCTGTCCTGCTCTCCTACTGAATATGGGGTATTTGGCCCCTTCTCTTATGCCAGCTTCCAAATGGCCCCTTTGCATGACCCATCTCCAACACAGGCAGCACCAGCATCCTCCAAGCAATGGGGTTTGGCTCCAAATGACCATCAATGTGAAAAAACAGAAAAAAAAAAACCCCAACAGCTTAATCTGCGCAGCCCAAACCACTGCCATGGTTGGGGATGCCCTGGAGGTGCCTGCTTGCAGGGGGCTGCTCCCACTGGCCACCCCAGTACAGCATCGCTCCACAGCACGAGTGCCCCCAAGCCCAAACTGAAAGGAGGGGGAGAAGTCTCCATTGCACCCCAGTAGGGGTGCACGCAACAGATTTGGCCTCCTGGAAGAGATGGAGGCAGCTCCTTGAAAGACATGGAGACCCTGCCCCAACCAAGAGAAAGGGCTGGGGGGAGCTGGCGCTGAGCAAGGGGTGCCGAGGCAAGGCTGGCACCCAGGCACATAGTGCCTAACTGGGGAGTGGGATTAAAAAAGAAAAAAAAAGACCCCAAACTAGTGCACAGAGATGCCAGGACAGACTTGTCACCCGAGCAGCCACCATGCACAGCCATGCAGCATGTGGACGGCCGTCCTCCAGCTCATGCTGTCCGGCAGCCCTGAGCTCAGTGGCACAAGCTGGCGAGACCCTGCTTGGAAACCAGTATCACAACCTTTTTTTGAGGAAAACAAAAAATCAAAATCTCCTTTCTTATACAAAACTGAAAAAAAAAAAAAAAAATTTCCCAGTGAGTTCAGTGTGTCTTGAGCCGTGCAAGCACCTTTTCCAGCAGACGACCGTGCCACTGCTCACTCCTGTTGCTGCTCACCCATGACCCCATTCCCCGTGCCAGTCCTGCTGATGTGCCCCACGTACTCATCACCCTCACATCCCCTTCTCCCTTCTTTGCTCAGAAAGAAGAAAAAAAAAAATCATTTCAGACACTGTGAAATCCACAGCCCAAGGAGTGACAGAGAGGCCCCACGTCAAGGGAAAAATCAATGTATTGATGACCTTCAAACTTTCCACGGGGAGAGGAAACCTGTGCCCGCCACGGCACCGGGCAGGGGCCAGGGAGGAGAACAAAGCCGCTCAGGAGAAGGCCACAGCTCGATGGTAGCAATCGCATCTCCTCCCCTCCCACACGCTACCTCATGTCTGAATCCCACGGGCTATTTTTGGCAAGCGAAGAAACAGAGGCAAAAAACAAAAGCCCCAGGAAAGGCAGCAGCACGGGCAGGGGAGGCGGCAGCTGGCATCTGCTCCTCTTGCTGCAGAATTTATTGAGCTGTTTTATGCCTTTTTTGTTTGTTTGTTTTCTTCTCCCCTTTTTAATTGTTTCCCCCAATGATACATGAAAATCTATTTCTCCTGCAATTTGCAGCTCCCGAATCCTCTCTCAGAGATTTGGGCTGGGGATTGCAGCCCAGCCCAAACCCTCTGGCCGGTGCTCCCGGCCACCAAAGCTGGGGGACCACGGGGGGGTTCAGGGCTATGTACTGATCTTGTTTTCCCCTCATCCATGACTAACAGCATTTCTGCTCCCTAAAGATTTTGGGCACCTGAGAGCAGCCACGCATGCGCTCCCCTGAGCTCTCCCCCCCGCCACTCCCTCCCTGCTGGCTTTTTCCCCTTTCTCAGACCATGCCAGTTGGCACAGTCTTCGGTTTCTCCTGTGGCTCCCACCCACACTCCCACCACGGCCGGGCACCTCCATCCCCCATGGAGGTTTGGGCCCCCCCAGCCATACCAGCGCTGCCTCCATGAGCCCGGCCCACAGGGGCTAGGTGGGTTTTGGCAGCGGCAGGGATGTGGTCGGACCCACACCACTGCAGGAGGTGGTGGGATCCATGCCACCGCAGGAGGCAGTGGCCTCCCAGCCCCTGCCACTCCACGCACAGCATCCCACCTTGTCCCTCTGCTCTAAAGTGGAGACATTCCTGCAGGCTCCGTGACCTTAGGGCAGGCAGGAATAGTCCTTTTCCAGCCAGGTGTCCTAAATCCCCTTAAATTAGCCCCCACCCCTCTGCTCCACAGCTGTGCCAGGGGCTCCAGCCCCGGTGCCCGGTTGCCTTCCAGAACTGCCTGGCCCTGGCACCCCAACATGCCCCAAGGAGCAGGGTGGGATGACTGACCCTGGAGGCTTTTGGGACTGTCTGTCCCCACTGTGCCCCTCAGTGCCACCCCACTGCCCTCTCGGTCCCCAGACCCCAAGCAGGACCCCAGGAAATCCTACCCTGGGGCTGAGAAGGGTGAGCGGCGTTCAAAGCATACAAAGCACCCTGTCTCTTAATTCATAAATTGTATTAGTTGTAGGGTGACAGTGGACAAAACCCCACACTTGGGAAGGGGGAACCATGGATGCTGAAATACGCTGCAAAACACAGCTACGGCCACGCACAGTCCCTTGGCACACAGTCCCTCTCTGTTTACCAATATAAGACCATTTTAGTTAAATAAAGAATTTTTATACATGGTGTCAGACAAGAGCGGTCCATTCCCTGATGAAGTTAGGCAGTTTTGGAGAACAGCCAACAAATACATATTAAATTATAGTAAAACCAGACTGGCTCTGAGCTCTCCTCTACTGACTTTGGGAGGGGGCCATGCCGGGCACCCAGCACTGCACTGAGCTGTGCAAAGACTGCCCTGTCCGTCCCGGCAGTGGTGGCACTCGGGCACTGTGTTAGGACCAGACCTGCAGCCTCCAGCCAAGCAAATCCTAAGGACTGCCCAAATCTGAAAGCTAATCCACTTGCAATTCTGTTGGCTTCCAGGAGTATTTCCAAACTTTTGCACTCCGACAAGCGTGGCCTGTATCACCAAGTGCTCCAAGCTTGCTGCCTTTGGCATCTTATCTTTAGATGCTTTTAAAAAATGCTGCAGCAACATCCTTGTGCCCTGCTGTTTCTCAGCTCACCTTCCCTGTGGGCCAAGCTGGAGAACAGGGTCAGGGAGACCCCAGTGTGCAGTGTCACCCAGGTACCCCCTGCCCAAGAGGGGGTCTTGCCCATCTGCACAGTCCTGCTCTCTTGGAGCTCCAGGAAAAGTGCCGCTGTGGGCACATCCTCACTGAGGACAGCCAGAAGCTGCTCTGCACATGCATCTTGGAGGGCTTGGGAAGAAGCAGTTGGTCCTGCCACCCCTGTGCTTTTCTGGTCCTCCTCCTAGGGTAGGAGGGGTCTCAGGAGAGGAGGCAGGTCCAAATTTGATGGTGTGGCCAACACCCCTTCCACAGGGGAGTGAAATGGTCCACAGGCAGAGGGTCCTCTACCTGCAAAGATGGGAGGAGGACAGTCTGCCGCGCAGATTCGGGTCACCGAGAGCAGGGCACCGCTGGTGCCTTACCTGCACTTTGGCTTGAAATCAACAGTCCCCGCTTGGCCACCGATTGCCCCTCTGATGCGGGGTGATTGTCACCACGTGTGAATCCGGCCAAGGCAGTGTCACCCTAAGCAAGAAGTCTGGTTGAGTTTTGTAGGTAGGCATGGGTGGAAAAAAAGGGGTTCTCAAGATAAAGCAGACAGTTAGGGTGGCAATGATGCATCACCAGCAGCTAGCACCTAAGGACAGCACTTGGCTGATTGATTCCTTTAGAAGAGACGTTCCTAAGCCTTTTAATGTTTTTCCGTTGATGTTTTGTAACCAGATTGGTATGGGAGATATGTATGAACCTAACTTGGCTGGAGCGCCCTGAGCCATCCTACGTTGTTAGGAAAGAAACGTTGATGGTAGAGTTTGCTAAATAAAGCTCTTGTGACATAACGGGGACATCCACCCTGCCAGGCGCGCGGGGCACGGTGGACCCAGACACACAACACCAGTACGTACCAAACCGTTGGCAACGAAAGAAAAAAGCAAAGCGCAAACAACAACAGCTTCAAACTTTGTTCCATTTGTGTTCTCAGGGCCCCTTGGCCCTCATTAATAAATAACAAAATATACAAATTAAGAAACAAGAAAACCAAAGAGGCAGAGGAACATAAATACGGGAAACAGGGAAAGCCACTTTGCTCAAAAAAGTCGGGCTGGACCCCCAGCTCGGGGCGGCCCCCTCCTCACTACAGCTTGAAGATGCCGAAGTAAGTGCTGCCACGGCTGTAGTTCACTCGTCTTGAGTCTGTCACATTGACAAAGACCATATCGCCTTCCCGGAGCTTGAAGACGCCTCCCTCCCGGATGGACTGGAGGTCGCAGAAAGACATGGAGGTGCTGTGTGTGTCTAGTCCCTTCAGCAAGAGACGGTCCTCTTCCATGGGGAGATACAAATAAATATAGAGGGTGAAGGGTGCCGAAGTTGCTGCCTTGGTGCAGAAGCTGACTTGGGAGTAGATGTAGTAGAGCCCTGCTTCCTTCACCTTCAGTTTCCCGTCCTGGTAGGATATCGAGTTGTTGTTCATGGGACCATACATCGTCGTCTTCCACTCTAGCACTGTAGGGGGAAAGCATGGCAGATGAGCTGGGAGAAGGAGACATCCAGTTTGGCAGGTTGATTTTGGGGGGACACCACACAGACATTTGGTATCACAGCCTCTGTCTGCTGCAGGGTGTGGGGGTGGGTCCTGCCCACCCCAGGACACCATCCCCAGCCCAGGGGAGCAGGGTCCCCTTCCCCAAGGCCAGGACATGTTTAACCCGTGTTTCTGGTCACTGGCCTTGACACCCTTGAATCCATTTTGCGAGCAGAGGAGCATTTTGCTTCCTTCATCCAACCAAGTGGAAATGCTTAGGGTGGAGGATTGCACACAGTTGCCACCATGGGCCAAATACACCCATGTCCACCCCTGTAGGGTTGCTGGCTCCACAACTTTCAGCGGCACAGCCTCCGAGCCCTCAGAACACTGCCGAAACACACTGCAGCTCCTATCTTCAGAGGCACCCATCCCAGGGCACATCATAGTTTTTCCAAACTGGGTGCTGCCTTTCCTCCAAAGTCCCTCCTCCACTTGGCCTCCAGAGAAGGCGAGACTTCACCAAGGACGCACAAAAATGATTGTCCCGGAGTTTTGGTCCCTGGCAGGTGCAGAGCTAGAAGGGTCTTGCATGGCAAGTGCTGCCTCCCACCACCAGGACCACTGCCCACGCAGACCTGCTACTGGCATGGCTGTGGGGCACTACCGGTGCCATCGGAGTAGCTCAAGAACATGCACTCCCACTGGAGTCGGTACAGATAAGTCAATACAGAGGCCAGAAAACCATGGTCATAGGGGCTGAGCTCAGCACGACATCTGGGAGGGGTTTTGGACCTCCACCTTTCCCAGCCTACAGAGACACTTGTGAGAGGATCAGGGGTGAGCAACCCAGCTCCATGGGGAATAATGGGTTCGACCATCCCAGCCGAGTCCCAGTCCCCGCAGCGGGGCGGCACGGGTGGCCCTGGGGGAAGCCACACAGCCTGTGGTCCATGCCCATACATCCCGCAGGGATGTTTCCTCTGCTCTCGACTGCCGAGGCACAGAGCCGAGCTCCAGGCAGCTGCTGCTCTCTGGGCAATTTCAACCTGCTTTATAGGCTCAACAAATGCTTAAGCAGGGAGTTTTAAAATGCAGCGAGTTTCTTGCTTCTTTGATCTTATCTAACACTAAGCTTTCCACAGGTAGACTGAGCTTTGGGTGAAATGCTGCGTCAGAGATGGAAAGAGCAGTTGCCGATTACTGGCAGTTACTGCAGAATTATATCAAAAGTGTTCAGATTGCGAAATCCTTGCCAGATGGAGAGACTGACCTTGCAAGCTCTTACTCACTTCGGTAATCCTTGCTCTTTCAGGGTGTCCCTTAGCGAAGGCTACGCTGGGGGGTGGAGCTGCGAGAGCAACCATGGTCTATGCAGGGGAATGCACAAATGCAAATGGAGGTAGGACTCGCACACATTTCTCAAACCTAACAACGTGGCCATGGCTGTGAATAAGAGCAGCTTGTCTAAATCAGTTTGGAGCTACCTATACTGCAACCGTAAAGTTGTCAGCCAGCCCGTATTGCTACCAGGACCTATGATTAGATCAGCAGATACAATATGCCAGCAGAACCCTCCTGCAGCAGCCACACCAGCAAGGCATAGCCAGGAGCGCAAAAGCATTGTGTTTTGATCCCAAAAGAAAAGTGAGAGGTTGGTTTCCTTAAATACAAAGAGAAATCGTTTTCCTCTCATAAAAAAACACCATAAAGATTAAGCCATTGTGGTGCATTTCTAGGAAGGCATATATAAGGCTACTGAGGACAGCTGGCATGGGATGCGCGAGCCCCGTGTGGCACAGGTCCACGTGGTGACACCACCACTGGGAGGTTCCCTGTGCTTTGGGGACACGCTCTCGTGCTGGAGTTGTATTGTCCCGGTCCCTGCCCTTACAGAGCCGCAGGGCAGGATTGCAGGGTCCGGCTGCGGGGATGCACACTGCTGTGCCCCGCTGGCTTTCTGGCCAAGGCACTGCCGAGTGGGTCTGTCTTACCTGAGACTGTCTTGTTGCTCCTCTGACCTGCCAGGTGGGCTGCGATCGGCTGCCTCTTCTCCACTGCAATTAGGAAAGCCTGGTGTTATCGATGCCTTGGCACCTGCTGTCCCCCCCGGGCAGCACAGTTCCTCGCAGGGTCCATGGCACCTCCCACCCTTGGTATTTCTCTATGGGCCAAATCCAGTTCAGAGGCACAGTCTCCAAAGCCCCCCCAGGTTTGAGTGAGGCAGGATCTGGCCTCTGCTCAGCAACAACACTCAGTCGCCTTCGAGGTGGAGCCCCTGAGGGATAAAGCCCGTGGAGAAGACCATGCTACCTTGCCCACCATGGGAACAGGACCTGAACGTGCCCGCCCCTTACCTGCCATAGTTGTCTCGTTCTTGTGCATCAAATGGGGATGCTCACGGTGCTCATGGCCTGCAATGCAAAAAGGTCACGGATTTAACTTTGGATTAATTTTCGTCGACTCCAGGCAACGTGGCACCCAGAGCTGCCTGCCCTGGTGAGACAGCCATGCCCAGTGCCCCCCTCTGCCAGTCCCATGCCATGCACAGTCCCACCCCCATGAGGATGCTCTAACCCCGACCCCGTCCCCTGCCTCCATGCCGTGCCCTGGGGCACCGGTGGGCTGTTGGAGGGTGAAGGAAACCCCTTCCCCAGCCAAGCGACTCCTCCTGCCTCCAGCAAGCGACGGGTGCGCTGGTGGCACCAGGAAACTCACCTCTCTGCATTTCAAACTTGGGCTGCCCTTTACTGGCTCCCCCGTCCTGAAACAACAGCAAAAATATATGTTGGGTTTTTTTTTAAGATGTACAAATCAAGGATTTTGAAAGCCTCTATGTAAAGGATGCTCTGGCCATCACGCAGGTTGGTGCTGTTTGGCCCCGACAGCCCTACCAGCTCTTGGTGGAGGGTACCCAAAACCACAGAACCCTTCCAGCACCTTCCCCAGCATCACATACGGCCGGGGGATACGGCCATCACATCCCCATGCATCACAGCTGACCGGCTGTTTGCAGCAGGGGGTTTGTAGGGTTTATGCTCTTAGGTTTTATGCAATTAAAATGACGTGATGGGGAAAATTTATTTGAAAAAAAAGAAACAATCAAAAAAGTATCTCTTTTTCATTTAAAACCATGTTGGAGAGCCATGTTGTACATGCTGCCCAGCAAACCGGGCACATCTCTGCCCCTACAAGAGGGGGTTTTCAGGGCTGCTGAGCATCTCAGACACAATTTTCCGTTGTCAGTTGGGTACTGATGCAAACATGAAGGTTTAGCTGAGGCATTTGATGTCATCGGGCAGTGACAAAGTGGAAGAAATGTCCCTCTCCTGCCTGCTCTGGCCAGCACAGCCCCTCCTAAACAGCAAATTCAAGGGCTGAGCAGGCTGAGAGCACCTCATCCCTGGCGGGGCAGCCCTCAGCCACTCCGGGAGGATGTCACGGTGCAGGGTGGCTCTTTCGCACCCAAACGCGAGGAGCCACTGCACCGGCTGGAGGTGCCATCCCTGAGCCCATAGGGTGGCATTTGCACAGCATCCTCCTCTTCCTCGACAGCTGCCGGGAGCCGTGCCGCACCGCCTGGCCCAAGCCTTGCACTGTCAGCGACACCTGGGCAAACTTGGCGTAAAAGTGCTCCCAGCAGCAGGTGGCCGCAAGCATCCCCACAGCCACCCGGCACAGGATCGGAGCGAGGTGCCAGACAGCAGAAAAATCAACATTTTTCAGACTAGGATCAGAGCGCAGAGCCAGGGCAGCTGCAGCTCCAACCCTCCCACTGCAAGCCCCAAGCAACCCTCGGCATGCTGCAGCTGGGCGTGCTCTGACCAAGACCGTTTTGAGAAAAAAATGGATGAGATTTTTCAATGATATTAATATAATGAAAAAAGATGGTGTAAAAAGAATACAGTGTAAAAAAGGGCATGTACTATGCAGCCCCAAGGTAAAGGGCACCCATGGTTTTAAGAAAAAGCTTGGGGTGAAGCTGTGTGTGTGCCTGGGAGCCCCCCTCCACCTTCAGCAGGGTCTTTATCTGCCTAACAGCAGTGTACCTTGCACTGGAGGTCCTGGAAGCCCTTTAAAATCTTTTCACAGTCCAATAATGTCGACTTCTGACCTTCTGCCGTCTGACATTTCTGTACTTTCCTCAGGAAGATGTAATCTTCATTTAAGCTCAACACCTCTTCCATCTGCCGGCGGGGGAGAGAAGAGAGTGTGAATGGGATGTTAGTGGGAAAACTGCAATGGCTGGCAGCGGAGCCACGCTGTATTCCTGCCAGCAATAAATCGCAGCCTGGAAAGCTCAGGGTCAGTTGTTCAGCATCGGGATGAGCCGGGCAGACACACCGCGGGTACCAACCGCTCCCACCAGCCGCCTGACACAGCATCTGCACCCGCATCCGCTGGGAATTGCAGCCATGGGACTGACCCTGGCTGGCAGCGCTGGATGAGAGGAGGATTGCTCAGGATCCCGTCCTATTTCCTATCACCTTGATAATGAATTTAAATTTCCCACTCTGCCTTTTCCAAAAGGCAGGTGGCAAATATCCACCTGCCAGCATTTACAGACAGCAGCACAGAAATCTCAGCGAGTGGCTCGCTGCTGCTGTCCCAGTGGCCCCGGCATGCAGCTGGGACGCTCGCTCAGCCCCGCGCTGCCCTGCCCGTGCAGGGTGGCTTTTCATTTTTTCGGCTAGCTTATTGACTAAAAGAGCTGCCAAGAGAGCAAAACAACTTGTGGGTTGGGGCTGAATTCTGCCAAGAGCTTCAGATTAAAAAAAAATCAGAAAGCCAAAAAAGGGAAAAAAAAACCAAAACACTGATTTTTGAAATTATACCTGTTTTTTGTAAAAACCTGACATTCGGCTAAACAGTAAAGAGAAGTGCAGGCAGACATGAGGACACACAGCCTGGCAGAGCGCTCAGCGCAGGTAGCACTGGGATGTGGATGGTCAAGTTTGAAGCCCTGCCGCGAGCTATAAAGGCAGGTGAAACCCTCCTGCCACCCGTGACTGCATTTCGGCTGCCTCTGATCCTCTGCCACGGCCCTGTGCAGTCACGTTTCGCTCTGCTGGGGACCCTCTACTCACCCCTTCACCCCAGGCTGCAGTCTCCGTGCAGCAAAGTCCCCTTCCATCCCCCTGACTTTTAAGTCCCTCTAGCTCAGGATTGCTCTCCACCCTTGAAAATCAGAAGTCACCCACACACACTCAATTTCAGTTGAGACAACACATTTAAAAATCATTAATGATGATCTTATCATTGTATCTGGTAAGGAGAACTCATTCTGGGTTTTAGACACATTTCATTTCTTTAGCTGGTAGTCTTTTCTGGTTTGGAGGAAAGTAGCTTTAGATCGGTGATTTTAAATATCACGCAGTGTGGCTGCAGTCATGGCAACCTCAAAAACAGCTTTTCAGTTGTTGTTTTTTTTTTGTAAATATTGTCCCAAGTATGGGACAGGATCACCGATACTGTGCCTCTTCAAAAAAAGACAAAGTAAGATCCACTCTTTTCTTCCCTAAACAGAATGACAGCATCTGAAGTGAGATGTTGGTAAAATTCACACATGCAAACACTAAAAAAGAATTCATTTCTGGACCCCCCCCCATCCTCGCCATTAGCGTCACAGTGCTGCCAAGTGCTACGGCACCAGAAAAACAGCCAACGAGCCTAAAATAGCCACTTGTGTGTTTAAGCCACACTGTCCTCTCGCCGGACTGGCCATCAGCTGCCACGTTTGCTATTAACGGCTCTTCTTCATTGATCCATTCTCATTTTGTTAATGAAGGGAACAGATCTCTTCCTCAGCGTACATCTTAGTGTGGCTACTTCCACATCCATCCAGTGGCCAGCATCATGTTCTACCGTGTTCATCCTTTTGGTGAGCACATCTCGCCACAGGTGAAGGCTAATCACATTAGCAATCCAGCAGAGACAACCTTAATTCTACACTTACCTTATCCATCTTCATGTGAAGATACAAACAGAAGAGTACGGTCCCAATCATCTGTGCTACAATAAATACAGTGAGGAAGCCCATGAACATTTTCATGGTGCTGGGTGAGGTGCTGCTGATGGGTCGGGGCGTCGCAGGGCTGTAGGGTTCGTTCATCCTCCGTGCACGTTGCTGGGGCTCCTTCAAATGCGCTGCTTGCAAGTAGCATGAGAACTGTTGTGTGAGCACCCGCTGCTCAAGGGATACAGGTTGCAGCAACCTACACTTCCTGGAAAAAACTCTTCGTAGTGGGTAGGTTTGTTCACTACTGTCTCCCACAACAAAAAAGGTTGCTTAGACTTTCTTCTCTGGTGCACTTCCATGCTTTTTCCTACCGTTCTACCAGAAGCAGAGAGAGGTTCTTATTCCATATATTCATATTTACCCTCGAAACACTCCAGACTATGCCCCAGTGGTTTTTTCCTGCTGTGCATGAAAGCTTCATGGCAAGTTATCTTCAAAGAAATGAAGACCATGAATCTGTGGGCAGAGCTGCTGAACTGCAGTGTGGGCTTCCAGGGGCTAGGAAGCACTCAAAAAGTCAGTTGTTTCTCAAAAGGAGAAGAAAGGCTTTTTGCCCTCTGTTTCCTTCATGAGAAGAATGATTTTGCAGTTAAGACACTTGGCTGAGGCAGGTCGGTTGTGCTGGTTTCTGGACTTCCCTCGTGCTCCCCATGGGTGAAGTCTCTGCCTGGGTAGGCTGGATGATCCTTATGACCATCTCTACGGGCACTGGGACCCTAGCATGGGCACAGCTTTCATGCTCCTCAACAGACAGCAGGATTTCGGTTCTTGGTGCTTGGCCATCAGTTTGGAGAGAAGTTTTAAGCAGCTTTGTCGGTACTCCAGTGAGGTGCTCACCCTGCACCCAAGGGAACAAGCATGCTTAGACCCTGTCCCCGCCTAGCCATGTTACCTGTATTAATATATCTGAGAATGAAAAAGCCTGTTGGGGATACTGAGCACTCCTGCCAGCTGCTGACCTCCCAGCACCACCTCCATGCAACTCTGGGCAACTGTGTCCCCTCCATGTCCCCATGCCTCTCGAGCCAGCAGCAGGTTCTGCTGAGGTCCTGCCCCTGAGCCTTCCCTGCCCTGACTCGGAGCTCTTCAGGCATCCAACACTTGGTGTGGCCACGCACCACCGATACAATAATTTAGGGTAAATGCAGAGAGGTCCTCACTGCTTACAACAAGGGACAGACCTCCTTTTCTCCATGTAAAGAGGATAAATCTGGGTTTCTGTTGGGGCGCAGAGGAGGAGGGCTGCGAGGCTCTACTGCGAGGAGGGCTGGGGCGCTGGTTTGAAGGCAGTCATCAAGCCATCATGTAAAGTTGTTTTGAAAGTAGCATGCTAAAGGCAATGCTCTTATCAGATGTGCATGCAGCAAATAAAGGGTCGGATCCTGCCAGAAGCAGCAGGGTGCTGAGCAGGGCACGGCTCTCCAGCAGCCCCAGGAGAGGAGGGTACACAGTGCCTTGTCGGGGCTGCTCAGAGTGTTGCAGGATGGAGTCCAGCGTTTGCTTTTGCTATCTACCCACTCTCGCATCCTGTCCTGTGTGGTTAGAGCGCTGTGAGCTGCAAATGCAAAAGCTGGTAACAAAGCACAAACATCTCTGCAACCAAGTCAGTGTTTGACCTTGGTAGGTCACCGTGTTCCTAAATATAGCATCCAAATCACAAGTGTAGGATGGCACCAGGGTCTTCGTGGGCAGCAATTCAGTGGCTGAGCAGAGGACAGCCCGGGGCTCAGGCCCTGGCTGGTGCTTTGGAGCTGTGTAACCTCTTGCCATGCCAGGACTGTCCCCTCTGCAACAAGGGGAGCTTTGGGACAGGGCTGCCAGCTCCGGGGCCAGCCCCCCAGCGTCACTTTTGCCTTCTAGAGGAGCGAGTGGCCCCTGGGGTCCCTGCCCTTGGGTGCCCGTGCTCTGAGGGCTGCCCACGCACCCTCACCATCCAAGGGCTGCCTTGCTCTCCAGCTCGCTGGGGCTTCCCAGCCCCCACAGGAGCATCCTCCTTGCAGGAGTGGGGTGTACCAAACAGTGCTGGGGATGCATCGAGTTGGGTGGCAAAAAGGGGGTCCCCTTGGCATCAGCAGGGCTTTGGACCCGGTCCCTCGGGCTTGCAGCCCTGCTATGTGTGGGACCAAGCCCACACATAGCCTGGGGGCACTGCCAAGCCACTGGTTTTATTCCTTTTTATCTTAAAATTGGCATTATCTTTGGAAAGGCCAGCCCCGGCCTCCTCACAGGGGTCTGGTCTGACACCAAGCTCCTACATACCGTCCCTGCCACGGCAAGCTTGCCACAGGCAAAAAAGCCGTTTCGTGGTCGACATCCCCAAGACACCCCACACAGCTGAGGGCCACGAGGCCATGGCGGGGAGCTGCGCCTGGTCCCCAAAGTCCTCGCTCCATGCCTCAGCCCCATCACGCTCACTGGCATTTTCCAGGACTCTTCAGAGTTTCCTCTGAATTTAACACTCACTCAAATTTGGGGGAAGTCTCTACATGAGAAACAAAATTACATGAAAAGTCACCACTTAATACTTTCCCCGAATCCTGACTGTCAGGACTGAGATGCAGCCGACAACGTGTGAAACCACAGCAATGAGCGTTGCAGAGAACAGCAAGCGAGATTTTGCACAGTTATTCCTGAGCCCTGGCTGTCCCCAGCAGACGAAACCTTTTCAAAGCCATTTCTGGATAGCCACCAGTCACTGTTTCGCCGAAATGAGAAGAACCTTTAGGTAACGCCGGAAACCCTGAGCGCATCGCCGGCCCCATTGCATGCACCTTGCTGGGGAGGCTGGAGCCAGCGGCAGCCTTGGAGAGGCTGCCGGGTTCGGTGAGAAGGATGGGGAAAGGCTCTGGTTTTGGGTACCCAGCACAAAACATCACTGGAGGGTTGGACGGCTTGTGCTGCAAACCAGGAAACTGAGAGTCGCTAGTCACTGGCACCCTGACAGGAGAAACGGGTGGAAAATATGACGGCGGGGATCCTGGCAGAGGTTCGTCAGCGGGGAGGGCAGGCTGGCAGCTCTTCTTCAGGAAACCATTGCTCCATATCGGCAACCCAGCCCCTCGCCACCCTGGCTGGTGGGGAGCAAGCCCTTGGGAGCCGCCTCCTCTGTCCCACACCACCAGGTCCTGTGGCTGCTCCGGCTCGAGCCAGGAGTCAATGCCGGTAACACCAGTTCTACCAGGAGGTGCTGACCAAGCTCTGGGGAAAGTAGAGCCCCGTTGGGCCATCCCATCACCATTACTATTCAGAGCCAGGCAGCCTGGGAGGACAAAGCTGCCGCAGGCTGTGCTGTGTCAGTGGCCCCTGGGGACTTGCTCTGTTGCTGCCTCACTGCTTCACATGGATGGTAGGGATGGAGAGAAAGACTCAAAATCCTCAAAATCCATGTTATCCCATGCCGGGGCCAGGTGGCATCATGGTTGCACATCCTTGACCACTTGGCTGCTGTAGGAACATGGGAGAGCATAGCAGAGAGGGGACACAGCCTTGGGGAAAGAGAGGCATGGTCCAGAGGGACAATGGGCAACAGAGAGAGGACCCAACACCTGAGGGAAGAGTCTGCCTGCATGGGATAACCCCAGGGAAGGTGAAGTCACACCTTCACCTGGTGATGAGCCCACCACCAAGAAACCAACAGGGTTTTCTTTCACCCCCCAAACCCTCTGAACATAACCATAACCATCAGCTTGCGAACCCAAACTGGCACGGTTCCTCCAGCCAGATAACCGCCGGGTGAGACGATGGGAAAATGTGATCCATCACTTGCATTCCTATTGACCTAATTGAGGTATTTCCGCTGATCAGCAAATTGTCTCCACTTGTACTCAGCGCTCAGAGTTTTGTTTGCCGAGAAAATATCCGGTTGCCTGCCCTGGTGATCTGTCAAAGGCTGGGAGCATTTCTGAAGGCAGCAAGGTGAAAGCTAATGAGAAGAGAGTGATTTCTTTTTTTTTTTTCAGGTGCCTGCTGCGGTTTTGTGACTAGCTCTTTAAAATGTGCTGCTCACCCCACATGCTCTTGACAATTAACAAAAGCTGGGTGCTGTGCAGTACTAAGGACAATACATTCAAAAAGAAGATTTTTATTCTGAGTCACCAAAGGAGTTTGCCTGCGATGCCGTGGGAGGGATGCAGAAGGGAACCTATGAAAGAAACTTAAATTAGTCCCTTCAGCACAGGGCCACAGGCAGAAGGGAAATTTGAGCTTTTCCACCATTTGCTTTGTCGCTTCTTTAGGTTTTTCCCTCTCCTGCATCCTCTGAGCTCTCGTGTCTCCAGGACCACCCTGTCACTGGAGATGAAGAGGGAACAGATATAGCCAGAACACCACAGAAAACATCACCAGCATCCAGAGAAGGAAAGGTTGTGTTGCTGTTTCTGTCCATTTTTGACGTTGGTATGAATGAGAGAAAGCTCTTGGAGTCCAGAGCAGCAAGAAGCAGCCTCAGGGATAGGAGGAGGCATCAATACTTGTGACGGTTACATCTCTCTGTGAAAAAAAAAAGAGCAGAAGATGGTAGTTGTAGCCACTGTGGTGGTAATGGCAGGTTGCAGCCCCATCACTTGCCGTGGCCCTCAGCCATGGAGGCACCTGTGCGGAGGTCAGCAAAAGTCCCAGGCTCCAGCTGACGTGAGCATGAGCTGTTCCAGACTTCCGCTGCCCAGCAGGTAGATCAGAGCAGGGTGTGGAGCACCATCTCCACTGCATTTTCCCCCAGAGGGGACATCTGCCCCTTCTCTGCCACCCTGAAGACCGGCAACGAGCAATGGGAAAGAGCTGCAGTGGACGGCACTGGGGTGCTGCTGTCCCTCTGAGCCGCCCTGCTCCGAGAGCCATCGTCCCCCGTGACCCCTTCCCTTCATCTTCCTCACCTCCCTGCCCTCCTGTACCACCCACAGATGCACCCCAAGCTGGCCTTTCCCAAGGGGATCGAGGTGGGTGAAGAGCAGGGAAGGTAGAGAAGTAGGCCCCAGTGACCCCACAGAGGGTGGAGGGCCCCAAAGGGCACGTGGCTCTTGTGCCACATCTGGGCTGCACATCTGGGCAGCAACGGCAGGCTTGCTGTGCTGAGCCATGGAGAGCACCTGGACTCTAAAGTGCTGATGCTGAGCCTTACCAAAGCTGTGAAACCACAAATCACACTAGAA